TATGTGACAGATATCTGTCACAGTTATGTGGCAGATATCTGTCACAGTTATGTGGCAGATATCTGTCACATATCTGCAACATATAGGAATTTGGCCCAATAACATATCTGTCACAGTCATATGACAGATATCTGTCACATATCTGCAACATATAGGTATTTTGCCCAATAACATATCTGCCACAGTTATGTGACAGTATAGTTTCCCTACAGAGAAAATTATCTGCATATTATCTACCAAACAGATACGTATAAACATAACTGCCACCAAGTGAGATTTATCTCTTGCATAAAACTATTTCCTCTTCTGCAACATCACGTTGCTGCAACTGTACCTCTGTCATGTTCACTTGAAGCCATAAATAATTTAATACGAAGAAATATTAGATTAGAATAGTAAATGTATTTATCAGTAAATATATAATTATAGCTTACATATATAGATAAATTTAAGACTGTACAATCAATTTTTCTCCAGGGGCCAGTTGTCCAAGGCTGGATTAGCTTAACCCTAGGTTTACCTAAAATTCAAAGCAAACTTCCTGACAGCTTGTCTATAAATTCGGAAAGATTTTTCAGAGATCTTGTCTGGATCGATAGGAGTTTTCTTCTCTGAAGTTTTGAAATAAACAGGCTAAATTTTAACCCAGGGTTAGCGCTAGTCCAGCATTGAACAACCGGCTCCTGGGGCAGAGTAATTACACTTGCTATAACCTACACTAATTTAAAATTTCTTAATATTATATAATTATATTTATATACATGGCCAGAAATAAATGAGTACCTAAAAGTCATTAATTGTTAATGTCAAGTCTCACTCAGCTGGTTTGCTTTTAGTTCAAGCCCCACAGCATTTGTCATGTACCATGTACTGCATAGCAGCTGTCTTTCCATAGACTGTATCATCCAGAACAAAAGCTGAAAAAATAGGAATTGATAAAATCAGATTTATTTAATATGTTTTAGATTTAATTGGCATTGACAGGAAGAATAATCTAGATAGTGTTAGGCCAAATAGGGGATGCCCTTAGGGTAGCCATGTCTAATGGGTTACGAGGTATATATTGGCTTATAATTAACCATCTACTAGGTTACATTTGATTTAATACTATTTTTGTAAAGTATATTATAGGAGACATTAGGGCTTACTAATGAGTTAGGTCAAAGAAATCACTGACCCTAATCTTTTTATCTGAAGTTTGCAAAGAGTTAGGAACAATTTTTCATACCCAGTTTGTGGCGTTAGTTTTGTACTAGCCATATAATACTTTTGTTTGTGGAAACACCATGTAGTTGTGTTTCCACAAACAAAAGTATTATATGTTTTATCGCCATGGAAACCTACAAAGAAAGTATAACCTGTTTGTTTCAAAATCAAAGTTGATGTAATATTTAATGAATGTTTGTGTCATCTGTGCTGCCGTAATTGATGTAGAATATCATTCTCATGCATGAACATTTATAATAAAAAATAAGAAAAAAACCCTACCTACCCTGTCTAAATTTTTTGCATATGAGAAATATAAACCCAGGCATTTCTTTTTTTGGACTTAGTATGGAAAAATAGGTAAAATTAACAAGACAGAGCACATTAGGACAAATTGCAGGTCAATGGGTCCAGCCCCAGCCCTGCCCCTTTTTTGGACTTAGCATGGAAAAATAGGTAAAATTAACAAGACAGAGCACATTAGGACAAATTGCAGGTCAATGGGTCCAGCCACAGCCCTGTCCCTGCATTATTACAGGCCTATGGACAGCTCTACATGTACCATACTGTAATGACTCATTCATGACAGAAAATTGGCTATTGCACACTGACCCTTTATACTAATATACTTCTGGCATAATTTAGATTATTAAGCACTAAACTACTTAAAAGCTCTACACACTATGCTCAATTTTTGGTATGGCACAGATCAAACTGGTACCTGTACCAACTTTATCTGTGCTTGGCCAGTATGAATAGGTAGTCCAAGCATGGTAAACATGTTACGTGTACCAAAATTGAGCACAGTGTCAATGTTAACAGGCCTTAAAATGGCTGCATTTGGAGGTAAACTTAGGATTCATGTGTAATTATGTTGTTACTAGTTACTAAATTTTTGTAGGGGCTGTTTATAAGATCGAGACTGATCTGGCCTAGGTGGCCACCTTAGCTGGGCCAGTTTGTCATTTCTTTCATAGAAAGCACTAAAAGCAGACTATTTATTCTTGTTAATTCTTACCTTACAACACCAGTTTGCCAACTCAATCCAGATCTGATTGTCGAGACTTGAGAACAATATTTGGAGCACACCGGGCTATAATCTAGTTCCAATATTAATCTGAAAGCATATAAAGAGAACATTTGAGGCATTGTCTCAGTGCTCGTACATCTTCCAGCTTTTACAAACAAATCATTTTATACAACTGAAGCTCGCTAATAAAGAGCTTGCAAGACTCTCCCTTTGACGAGTAAAATTGTCTTAAGCAACATAGTTGCAGCATAATGGGTTAAGGATCAATACAGTAATACACTGATAGATCACATTCAATGCTGTAATTCTTCTGTAATTACAATCCTTATTCATGTATTACTGTAAAATGCTAACATATCTTTAACAGCATTCAAATGTTTAATATATTATTTCATATTGTTAAAAGCACAAGTATGTTTAATATATTATTTTATATCGTTTTATTATTAATTTATACACCCTTGACAAGGTCTAGAAAAGTGCCAAATAATTATGTGACAATTATTGCTAAATTGTTGATATTAATAGTGCATTAGTGCACAATTTACTACAGAATTTACTATAATAGATTCGAATTGATATTATATTCTTTCTTTCCTTGCCAGAAACCAACATTTCGTATGTTTCTTATGCAAATTGAACGCGGCAAATTCAAAATTATATTTAACAGAATTTCAGACACATGGCTCAAGTAACAATCATATTTTCACTACATTCTTTCGCAATTAAAGCGCTTAAATAACAAGTCAAAATATAACTATTCTTACCTGTGAGATCTGAATAACATTTTACGAACTTTTCCATGCCTTTTCCATCATTTTGGGTTCTTCACCATGTAAGACATGTAAATGTGCTTTCAAATTTTTAGCACAAAAATTCGAAACGACGCTATCCCATGACACTTTGCGCTCCGACACTTAAACTAGGCACCAGGCCTCCAGGCAATGCGCGAACTATTGCTTCAGTTGTCATGTATTAAATCACAGTTAATATTAACTGTGATTAAATATAGTTTCTCTACGAATATAAGGAATATTTACAAATGTTTTCAATCAGTTACTGACTGTTAATTAATTTATTGATAATAAATTCTCGGAAAATGAAAATTCTCTACAATGATTCAATAAAACATGGAAAGAAATCAACTTTAGAAATTAAATTAGAATGTAGTTATATGGTATCAGGAATGATGGAAAGGGGGTGGGGCAAGGTCTCCTTTCCTAAAGGGGGCAAATGTAGCATTTTAATATAAATAAAACACAATATTTTGTCCCAATTTTACTTTAATAACAAATTAATTAACAAAGATAAATATGATAGAAGAGAATTTGTATATTTAATTAGCTATTTCCCAAAGTCCTGGGTCTAGTCGCAAGAATCCCTTGTTGGAGGGACAAAAAAGACAGCACACATTTAAATTAAAGTTTAATGTAAAAGGGAGATATCTCATTTTTGGTCATGTAAAAAGTTGATATTTTATAGTAGATACTTCTACTCTTTCACATATTTGATGCCTGTCTCCATATATTTTGTCCCTCCAAATGACCCCAGAATATGCACTGAGAAAAGGCTAATTACGTGAATATACTAACCCATATAGAATCTAAATCCAGGATGACATTTGACATCTTGTTAAAAGAATATTGAGGAAAAATATATCATTTTGGGAAAAAAATGCAAAAATTGCAAAAGATGTTATATTTAAATTTTAACAAATTTATATTCATTCTTCGAGAAAATTTAAGTAAGAAATAATTTGTTATTAACCATTATTTCTTATGTTAAGAATTTGATTTCTTGTTTTAAAAATTATCTTAAGAAAATGATTTGATATGAAGATGATGAAATCGTAAGAAAACATTCATATTTCAAGAAAACAAATGTATGTTAAGAGAATTTTTCTTATTTCAAAAAATGTCTTGCAAATCAAATACTTCTAATTTTAAGAATCATTTTTCTAATTAAGAAAATTAGTTTCTCATTTCAACAAATATATTCTTGAAGTAAGAATTGTTTTCTCAATAAGAAATTATTTTTTTGCTGTGTAGTCGAGATACTGTATATTGACAGACAATTGGCATATCTATATATATCTGCAACTTTTATGCAGATAGTTTGCAGATATTTTGACAGACAATTACCATATCTGCAAATATCTGCAACTTTTATGCAGATAGTTTGCAGATATTTTGACAGACAATGGACATATCTGCAAATATCTGCAACTTTTATGCAGATATTTTGCAGATATGTTGACAGATACTCGACATATCTGCAAAATATCTGCAACTTTTATTTGTAGACCTTGTTGCAGTTATGCTGCAGTACTGCAACAGATATGTGACAGATACTTGCAGACATTTTACATATATGTCAGTTTGGTAAGGGAATAGGAAGAGAATTTGAAGAAACAAATAAGGGAATTGCGTGATTATCAAATTATTTAAAATACATCAGACGTAAAACGGGTTTTTGTAATATAGGAAGTTTCTTAATGTAAACCTTGGCAGTGTAGTTTATCTTGCAATTATTAACAAGTTTCTAAGTATTAAATATAAGGTAATCTCCGTTCGTGTTCGACTGCTACTTGATATATATTTGTCTGCTCCAGAGTCATTAATCATTTCAAATGTCAAACTGGGCGTATGAATATATTAACTAAATAATACGAATATATTAACTATATTACATCTTTTTTTGTTTCGATCATGAGATATATATCACTATGAGTTATGAAGTTTCAGTTCGATTCAAAGGTTCAAACGATCAGGTGGTTTGATAACTCTTCCAAAACCAGATCTTGGTAAACCATGTTTTCTCTCGTGGTCATCTTGGTGATCTGTAACTTGACTTGGTTCCACGATTGTATCCTGCCAATTGGTTTGTTCTACGATGGTTTCTTGCTGATTGATCGGTTCTACGATTGTGTCGTATTCATGCTCACTATCTGGTTCTTCTTTCACTTTCAGAAGATGGCGACAATTGTTCGATAGTTTCGTCCATTTATATTTACCATGTAGGACCTTGGATAACTTCTCTCGCTTAGAACAGTTACTTTTATCATGTATTTCCCTTTGATGTCTGTGACCCGCACCACATCTCCCTTTTGCAAATTTGGAAGAGGTTTAGCTCTGCGGTCATAGTACTTTTTGCTTTGCTGTCGATAATGTGATAAGCGTTTCGTAACTTCACTGGGCTCGATGACAGATGGTTTGAGCAATGTATCACTTATTGGGAGTAACGTTTTCGTTTGTCTGGCCATCAGTCGTTGGGCGGGACTGCCTAAAATGTTATCACGTGGTGTATTGCGATGACCAAGCAATGCAAGGTAAGGATCTTCATTGCTTTTCTTTCCTGTGTTGAGAATTTTCTTTGCTGTTTGAAGCGCTCTTTCTGCATACCCGTTGCTTTGGGGATATCTTGGGGAACTTGTTTTATGCCCAATTCCATATTCAGCAATGAATTTCTGGAAGTGGTGGTTATCATATTGTGGACCGTTATCACTCATTAACTTGTCTGGGATTCCATAACGGCTGATGTGCATCTTGATCTTCTTAATGATTGTCGTGGCTTTGATGTCTTGGAGGTGATCTATTTCGAACCAGCCGGAGTATGCATCAGCTGTGAGTAAGTATATTTGCTTGTCTAATTCGAAAAGGTCTGTAGCAATATGCTGCCATGGTCGTGTCGGTGGACTTTGTAAGAGAAGTGGTTCTTTTTGTTGTTGGGGCTTTGCTTCATTGCATGGCTTGCATTTCTCCACATGATCTTGTATGTCTTTCGTCATGTTTGGCCAATAAACTGCTTCTCGTGCGCGTCCTTTACATGTCTCTGCACCGCGATGTCCTGAGGGTACCGAATTGAGAATCGTGTTAATCATCGACGCAGGGATTACAACTTTCTCTCCTTTGAATATTATGTCGTCGTAGATAGAAAGTGTTTCAGAGAAGTCCCAGTAATGCTTTATGCTTGGATCTACTGCTCTTTTTTCTTTTGGCCAACCTTCCAGGAATATTTTGCGTAGTGCTGTTAGTGTTGGATCAGCGAGTGTTGCCGCCTTGAGTTGTTCACTCATCTCTGCGGAGAATGGGATGGTTGTATGAACCGTTAGGTCTTCAAATTTAGTTTCTTGATCTGTGTTGTTGAGACACGCCCGACTGAGGGTATCTCCGATGTGGAGCTGAGTTCCTTTCCTGTAAGTCACTTTCAGATCGTATCTTTGGAGCTTAAGAAGCATGCGCTGTAACCGAAGTGGGCTTTGGTAAAGCGGTTTCTGGAATATTGACTCCAGTGGTTTGTGGTCACTTTCGATCTGTACTGTTCGTCCGTAAACGTACTGGTGAAAACGCTCACAGGCGTACACTATTGCCAACAACTCTTTTTCTATTTGTACATGTCGTTTTTCGGTGTCGTTGAGAGTGCGTGAGGCGTACGCCACTGGCTTTTCATCTTGCAAACACACGGCACCAAGTCCATAATGGCTGCTATCGCATGATATCTTTACGAGTTTGTTGATGTCATAGCAGACTAGTGTTGGTTGACTTGACCATGCTGTCTTCAGGACATCAAAACATTTCTGGTGTTCAGGTTGCCATGTCCATTCGTTTCTCTCTTTAAGTAGATCTCTTATGACACTTGTATTCTGCGCTAGGTCAGGAATAAATTTAGCCAAATAGTTAACCATTCCGAGGAACTGACGAAGTTCTTTCTTGCTCTGAGGTGCTGGCATCTTCTTAACTGCTTCGATTTTTTCAGGATCTGGCTTCAATCCATCGGCAGTTAGGGTATGGCCAATGTATTTAAGCTTTGGTACTTTGAACTTGCATTTCTCTTCTTTAAGGCGCAGACCTATATTTCTCGCTCTTTCTAGCACTTTTAGTAGGCGTTCGTCATGTTCAACTTCATCTCTACTCCAGATCAGGATATCATCCACAATGATCTCGCATCCCTCTATGTCTCCAAACAGTTGATTCGTCGTCCTTTGAAAGACTTCAGATGCTGATGATATTCCAAAGGGTAAACGACGAAAACGAAAACGATTTAATGTTATAATATTAGGGAATGCAGTAATTATAATAACATTCTTATGTCTACAATATGCCTAGCCTGTTCCCATGGAAAATATAGATTGACACGTAGGCCTACTCTGGGACCTAAAGTCGCCTAATATCGCCTTAAGTCGCTTAAAATCACACAAAATCGCCTAAAATCAGTTCATGAACATGCATAATTTTAACATTGTTTTCACTTTAAAAACATATTTCTAACTTTAAAATTGTAACTTGCACTTCTGCAAGTAATTGACAGGCATTTTAGGTCATTATTACACAAGGCTTAATGAAATGCGATTCAAGTAAAAAGTACATTTTCAAATAGGCATTTCAGACAGTTGTTGCTAATGCAATTACCAGAAATCTACAGTATATACATGTGGCGAAATCACCCTAAACTTAATATACAACAATAATATTGTATAGATGGTGTTTCCACAAGCAAAGATATTGTCTATTGCCATTTCTTTCAACTGCAAATCTTTCAATCAAAGGCAAAGCCAAAGAAGTTAGCATTTAAAATTATTGTCAAATTCGAATTTGTTAAAGATCGACATATATAAACTTAATTACAGCTCTTTATCCGGATCTTTGGTAACGCACAGTCATTATGCATGGATCAATTCTTGTTGTTACCATTCCCCCTCCCGTCGGGCGGGGGGGGGGGAATTGTTAGAAAATGGGGGTAATTGGGGGGGGGGATTGTTAACGGCGGGAATGGGGGGGGGAGGGAATTGTTAGAAAATTTTGTCCCGGGGGTTTCCCCGGGGTAAAAAGCAAAACTCGTATCCAGGACCATGTTTTGACCGCATATCTAGCGGCTAGCGCATCCAGTGACATGTATATAGTTCAGTGAGCGCACGTCCAAAAGTTTTCAAAATGGCGACTACCTCATGTTTGGCAGTTGTTTATATAATCGTGTTATAGTGACTATAGTTTATAATACCAAGTATTTAATCAGTATATATAAACACACTTTTCAAATTTTACATATGTTTATACGAAGGATATTAAAAATGTGTGTTATAAACTGCTTAGTGATATTTCTTGTTTTTAGTTTTTTAGCGATGCCCCGGGGTGGGGAATTGTCAAGTTTTAAAGTCCCGGGGGTGGAGAATTTACTATATTCTTGCAAAAAAAATACAAATCTCGGGGGTATTGCCCGGGGGAGGGGGGGGGGGCAACCTCGTACCCAGGACTAGTCGCGAATTGAAGGCGGGCGACATAGCCCTGGTAAACGCTGGTCACGTGTCAGGCAAATACTCCAAGATTCTTGGAGTATTAGCCTGCGAGCGGGCTTTGTGGAAATGAAGACAGGGGGGCGACGAAAAGTTCACGAATGGATCTTGAATTGCCGCGGATTATTTATATTCTTTTATTTTTTGTTGTAATCTTTCTTCTTAATATGTTACGTTTATATATTACGTCGAATGTACATCAATCTTCTTTTATATCGCATCATGTAAATCGCCGAGGAGGCGATGTTTCGAATTTCGAAGCAGTGAAAGTGGAGCCAATCTCGTACATACTATTTGTGATGATTTCCATCAAGTATAAAAAGGTACAGTATATATGAATTTGAAAATGTTTAGAAGTATTTCATTGTTACAAATTATTTAGCAGATTCCCATTATTTGTTACACTGTCTAGCTCTATGAAATATATATTTCGAAGGCTATTTACTGTAATATATTTTATACAGTATGTTAATAATATAGTTAGCTGAATTTGTACAATTGTAGTTAAATATTGTGAATATTGAGAAACACATGGCCAGACTTGAGAAACGTGTTTACACTTTAATACAATATTATTAAACTACATTTTACAGCAGTATTAACTTCAAATACTTTGTATTTACATTTACAGTAATGACCTGAAATTATTTAAATGAGCCATTTAATACTGTAATAACAGAGTGGCCAGGTTGACAAAGCTAAAATCTGATGAACCTAACCTGCTAGGATATTTCAATAGTCAAACATCAGTTTCAGCACTCCAGCTGGTCAGGGATTTTTAGGGAAAAGTTTTAGCACCCCATTGTAAAACCTGCCCCTGAATCTCAAAATTTCATTATTTTGTTCCCTTGCCCCTACAATCTATATTTATACCTTTTGTGCCCTTGAGATCTTTAAAAAAATTGCCTAACTCTGCAGTATGGCATGTAACCTTGTTGCCATATTTATTTTCTGACTTCAGGCTTCAATAAATTTCTACTCTAATACCCTACAGGGATGGGGCCATATGTATGAACAATAAGAAATGATTTCTTCATCTATTATTGACCCCTTACCTTTCACCCAATTTTAAAATTAAATTTACTGAATGATTTTGAAGTTTTCTAGATTATTGAAAAGAACTTTATGGGTACAAGAAATGGGGCAAAAACAGTTGAATTAAGCAAGATGCAAGTAACAATGAACAAGACCGAGTCACTGGATGGTATTTCAGCACACTGGTGGACATGCAACCTAATACCTGCAACCTGTGTCACATTTATATATATAGTTTTACACTGTACTGGAAAAATAATGTCAAGGAATTTGTAGAGATTCAGAATGCACACTTCATGGTTTATTCAATCACCAGCATGCATGAATCATTTTATGTTATGAATATTTTTTTTAAATTATTCTCACTTTATAGATAAAATTATATCAATTTTTAATATCATAAATTAATATATAGTAGCTTTTGATTAAACTAGTTATAATATATCAGCAAATAATGACTGGTCTCTCTGAAATCCATATAGAAAGGTTCAAATTTGACTTCCACTACCACTACTTGATCTGGCAGTTGCATCCAATTGTTTGATTGGATAAACGAAACTTATCTAGTTAATGGTAGCAATAACAGCAGTGGAAGTCAAATCTGATCTCTCTATTATTTTTTGAAGGTTTGCTCTAGTCACGTCAATTCAGGGTTGCGCATGCAACTTGGTTAGCACAGCTAGCTCTTCAAGTTGGAGGTCCAATTCTTAGGATTCTGCAAATTAATTCTAGAAACCTGGCTTTGGTTTGGGCTAAACAAAAATCATCACACTGTTTATCATGCTGATTTGGTTGTTTAACAGTTAAAGTCCAGGCTGCATGTTTTTTTGTCCTGCATATGGCAGATGGGACAGTCTGGTTTCCAAGTGTTTATGTGGGGAATTAATATTAATCAGGACTGGCTTCTCAGTGAAGGTCTTGCCTGCTTTATGTGAGAGCAGGCTCTATGTGAGATTCCAATTGCTACACAGCATGATCTCAGTGCTCTTCCTCTGAAACAATGCTTCGTTGCAATATCATCCAGCAAGTGCAAAAATGTACTACCACGGTCAAGGATCATTTGGCATGTTCATCGACTATGTTAACCCATTGAGTGGGGCCATGCACCCTCCACCTGACGAGTAAAATTGTCTGGCGTTAGACAGAGTAAACTAACAAAGTAGGGTGCATCTGGGTGCATTGGGCCATTCCATTAATTAATGTATACACCCCCTATGGACGAGTTCAATAAAATTTGAACCCCTAAGAAAAAAAGATCAAAGTGCCGACACCAACACCCCCCCAGAAATTAAGAAATTTTTGCCTTATCCCTCAGAAAAAATGCAAAGATCAAAGGATGCCGATGCACACAACCCCTCAGAAACGGCTTTTTCAACCCCCTCAGAAATTCTAGTCCATAGATACCACAGCACAACACTTGTACATATACATATACAAGTAATACAACAGCAATCCTTTTATATATTTAATAGTCATATTTACATATTGGTGAAATATCAATGTCCATATATTAGGGATGTCCATTGTCCATGAACTTGTCCCTAGTTTGAAGCTAATGTATTCATATCTTTTGTATAAGTTGTCCCTCTACAAACCAACTTTTAGTCATTATACAAGAGTTGAATTTGCATAAGTCGCAACAAACTGAACAAAGTACTATTCCATAAACCTGTGCAATGATCGAGCGTCTTTGGCGACATATCCATGTCTTTTAATAATTAAACTCTCATACAGAAAGTATTGATCCATTTGATCGATCGCCGTACTTTGAGAAAAGCTTGAAGTGCAAAATTCAGAAGGAAGATTGAAGAATTTCGGAGATAAAAACTGTTTGTCTTCGAGTTTCACCTATTCACCCCCCGGTTGAGAAAAGTAACAATTACGTAATTTTGGAGTCACGTGACCAGCGTTTACCACTATGTCGCCGCCTTCAATTCGCGACTAGTCCTGGGTACGAGGTTGGGAGTGCAATTGACCAAAACAAAAACCGCGTCGACCTTTGCCGAGACATAACCGCAATTTGTTTGTCCCGTAATCGAAAATTAATGTTTCCGAATTTTCGCATCTAAGCGTCTTTCAATTTTGATTTTTCGAAGTTGTCGGTCGCTTGCAAATTTCGGGACAAATTTTTGTTTTAAAATGCCGAAATTTTCCGCGTATGCTCGAGAAAGACAGTTATTATATAACCTGTATTCCTCAGGAGAAAGCGTAACCAAAATAACAAAATAACTGGAAGGGAAGGAATAAAAGTTTCGAGATCAGCGGCTCCTACAACGTTAACAACCCCACTTACCATGGAGCTTCGCAACTAGTGCTTCATAGTCCAAACCATCGAATTCGACTTCAACTGTAGATCCTTCAGCGAGTTTTGCTTCTCCGCTTAAAATTCGTTTCACTTTTATACCGGTATTCAAAATACTAGTACACCTACGAGCTATCTTCCTTGTAGATCACTAGCATTCGTTTCGGATTTCGTTCCGCCAATATTAATTACTGAAAAACTTTAAGAATATTACTGATACTGATTCACTGACAGTAGCGTAGACAGCCTGATAATTTAGTCCCGCTATGCAAGTATTTTCGTGTTCACTGACTGTAAAAACAATCAATTTCTAAAGAAATAAATAATGATAATAATTTTATATGATAATAGCGACTAAATCGTCGGGCTGGCTACGCTACTGTTCACTGAACGTAGATAGAGTTTGTAGCATATATCACTGTGATGTATAGCAAGAGGATAGAATTTGCTATTTACGAGTGAAATACCAATGACTCTTTTTTCTCGTTATTTTTCTGTTTTGAAAAGCGTTATATGCTTGCGTGAAGCGTGTCATGCATGTCGGCGGAAATTCCGAAACAGTCATTAACGCAGCCCGTAGCAACGGCATTGGAAAACAGAGTCAGACAAGATTTGAAAAAAAACCCCAAACATGCTGCAACATCAAATAAAAATATTGTTGCCGTTTTTATTTAGCACATATGCAGCAGTATACGCCACATATTGCAATACTGTTTGTCAATGAACATTTCTTTTGGTAGAGTAACAGTAGAAGTATAGAGATTTTTATTCAGGAAAACTTTTTAATTACACATAAGTCATTATTATTTTGTGTTTCAACGTGCGTGTAAGGTCATTTCGTACTCAACTATAACCTTTAAACTGATTTTCGTTTATTAAAAACATATTTGGCTGAGACTTAGTGAAACATAAATTGGCTGAAAAGGCGAAGTCGATGACTCATCAGACGCTCAGGCTCTGACACTTATAAATTAGCATACCTGATATTCAAACCCATTGTTACTGTTAGTCATTAATCATTACAATCGCGCACTTTTCATATGAATAAACGTTTATATTTGTGTAATGTTTGTCTATATGAATATCAATTAGGGCAGAACCTTTTGTCGAATGTTTTTCCATAAACTATTAGCAACAGTATATAAAACTTGGAAAACGAAAATTCGATGCTTTCGAGAGTACGAAACAACCAAGCTTGAGTATCGTGACCAAACGACGTAGGCGCAATTACGTGGATATGACACGACCATAATTCATAACTCTTAGCGAATCATATGGTCAATGGGGCACATTTACTGATCTGTGGCGATAATAGTCAGTATATAGCGTGTTGAGCAGTTACGGAAATCGGTCCATCGCGTGCTTGGATCTTGGTTCAACGGACAAGAATTATGGTCCTATGGAGCTAAATTGCAGAATCCCCGTTCACTAGTCATCTTTCACTGCGTAGCCATATTTTCAGTGGCTACGGCTACGCAGTCACGCGCTATCAAATTACAATAGACAGATTTAGATCGAGAACGTCAAAGATGACGTGAAAATGACGTGTAGCATATCCATACACAACGTGTGGCATATCCGTGCACAACACGCCATTTTCACGTCGTCTTTGACGTTCGCGTCCTCGATCTAAATCTGTCTAATATCAAGGAAATACGTAATTATATCAATGTCTCGTTCTTTTAAAAACTCACTGCGTAGCCGTGTAGCCACTAAAAATATACCTTCCTTACCTTCCTTACGATTACGTATTGATATAATTACGTAATGGTAAGGAAGGTAAGGGAAGGTATAATATACCTTCCTTACCTTCCTTATACTATTACGTCATTATATCAATGTCTCGTTCTTTCAAAAACTCACTGTGTAGCCGTGTAGCCACTAAAAAATATACCTTCCTTACGATTACGTCATTATATCAATGTTTCGTTCTTTCAAAAACTCACTGTGTAGCCGTGTAGCCACTAAAAAGTACACCTTCCTTACCTTCCTTACGATTACAAAAATATACCTTCCTTACCTTCCTATATGTAATTATATATATCAATGTCTTGTTCTTTTAAAGACTCACTGCATATAAACAGTGAAAAATATAGCTACCTTATAATGATCACGCAATTATTATACCAAAGGCAAAGACTCGGCGTTCTAATTTATAACTCACTATATATGTAGCCACGTAGCCACCAATATTTCTAGCGTGTCTTTAAAAGTGGACGGGTCTGCAATCGCTCCTTATTTTTTAACATTATATAGAGAATAATACATGGGAGCGCAGAAATACCAGATTTATTTCGAGTGTTGAACATCAACACGAGAAATAAATCTAGTATTTCCAAGCACCCATGTATTTTTCTGTTTATTATATAAACAAAATTCAGTGAAAAACAATAAAACGTCCGTGGCAATGCGTTTCACAACAAATGATATTTTCACACGTAAAAATATCGTATTTTTTACGTGTGTTTAAATACGATTTTTCTCAGTGGCCAAAAACTCTATATAACACTTATGTTTATATAATAAAATATGATTATCATATATTAGCATTGTAAATATGTCCAATATAGTGTCCTCGCAATTTGGTACGGCACTATTAAGTTCGACGTCTAAATCAGCTTCCAATATTTTGCCGTATCTATACGGCAATTAGATTCGGCGCATGAAAAGTTTGCCGTCTAAACCGGGCCTTTTTAGAGAGCAAGTTGCAAGATTGATACACATTTCAATCTAGATATGTATATATCAATGTTAAACATGACTTTCGTAGCAAATCCTTACCTGTTAGTGTATATATTCTGTCTTGCTCTCCCGAGGTGCATGGGTTTCATGAACGTGGAAAATGTGTTTATTCAGTATACCTCGGCAACAGTATATAGGTGACCACTATTCAATACAGTAATAGAACTCTGCATGTAATTGAATGAATACAGTTCAAGTTTGATACCATGTTATACAAGCACAGATCAAACGAGAATGAGAGTGTATGACAGTTGACAGTTCACTGCTTTCACAACTCTATTACGATTCACGAATTTTAAAGTTAAAACGCAGTTGGAACACTCATAACACCTTTATTTTTTTCTTCTTAAAACATGTGTCCTGCAGTGCATATATTAACTCTCATCCTAGTTTGATTGGGGTTTTTGCCTTTATATGTACAGTTAATAGCATGGGTTCGAGTGCAATTTGGATATAAGATTATAACATTCACGAGTGAGTTTTTCAAAGACCACAAAATATAGCACGAGTCCGAAGGACGAGTGGTATTTGAGGTCTTTGAAAAACTCACGAGTGCATGTTTATCCAAATTTCACGAGAAACCATGCTATTACTTATTTAAATAATTTACATAAAAAATGTTCGAGACAATTGTAGTTTTAACTTTAATACGCGTTCATAGCGAACATTCCACTGGCAAATTAAGTTTTCCTGGCTTTGTTATATCACTTTGTTATATCAAGTGTTCGTAGGCCTACGGAAAGCATTTGACAATGTTGATCTATAATCCTAATTGAAAAGCTAAATCAGAATGAAATTACAGGGGGTGCCTTGAATTGATTTATATCATACTTAGAAAAAAGATATCAAATATGTAAAATAAATAACGTTAAATCATCCAGAAAATTAATTAAATGTGGTGTTCCCATGCAGGGGTCAAATTTAGGAGCCCTCCCATTCTTATTATATGTCAATGACCTGCCAAATTGTCTTGATCAGGCAAAACCTTCGATGTTTGATAATGATACTAATATCTGATTGATAATGATACTAATATCTCCGCATCTGCTGAATCCGTAGATGAATTGGAGGAAAAATTGAACACCGAGTCTTAGTAATATCTATCAATGGTTAGTGGCAAACAAATTAACACTTAACGTTTCTAAAACAGAATATATGATTATTGGCTCTCGAAATAATCTAAGTAAGATTAATGTACATCCGACAATTAAAATTGGCGGCGAACTATTAATAGAGTTAAAACTCAAAAAGTCTTGGCGTGGTCATTGACGATAAGTTGAAACGGGAGGACCACATTGACAGCATCAGCAAAAAAGTTTCAAGCGGAATAGGAGCGATAAAATTGACCAAGCCTTTGTTCCAAAGGATTGCCTAAATCAGATTGATAATGCTCTTGTGCACCATATTTTGACTATTGCTCTCTAGTATGGGAAAATTGTAAACTAGAGTTGCAACTGAAACTTCAAAAGCTTCCAAATACCGTAATAGCGAGGACAATGTCTAAAATATTCATTTGTTGTAATTACTCAATTTTTTTCAATGATCTATTGTATTGGTAGTCGTTGCCGTCGCGTTGCCGTCCAGACGTTCTTTGTACCTGACACTAGTTAAATCACAACTCTCCTATGCAACACAAGTTTGGTCTTCAAATCACCACAGTCAACTCAACAGAAGAATTGAAAGAGTTCAAAGGAGAGCGACAAAATGGATATTAAGAATAAAGACTGGTGAAATACCTTACGAACAACGATTAATGACATTGAAACTATTGCCTCTCACATACGACAGAGAAATCAAAGATCTCGTGTTCTTCTACAAGATGCTGTATGGCCACATCGACCTTAAAATGGACAGTTATGTTTCATTCATTGAACATAGTCGCACTAGACCCAGTCAAGCTACTAGTGTTGTGCTTCAAACACCCTTGTGTAGAACAACGACCTTTCAATCGTCATACTTCAACCGGATAGTTAAACCATGGAACTGTATATGTAAAGACGTTCATCCAGATACATTCTCCAGTCCGATCTCCTTTAAAAACTATCTTAAACGTAAATATACCGAACTTGTTAAGTCAGCCTATGATGTTGAGTTATCTTGTACGTGGTCACTGGTACGGGACTGTCCTTGCCACAGGAAATAGTTAAGTCAGTTTGTCGTGTTTGTATATTTGTCTGTCTCTGTCTGTAATATGTTTCTGTCTATCATGTAAAGGCTAGTCTCCATTCGGGAGGGTCTTCAGGATCGGGGTGGACGGGAAAGTCTTCAGTTTGTTTTGCGAGATTTCGTTTGGAACCTCTGGTTTCGAACTAAATGAATTTAATCAACATGAATGACGTGGACGTCGTGAATTTAACACAATGAAAGCTCTCCCGCCGTTTCTGTTCAGCGGAGGATCTTCCTGTGTGGAAGCTGGCCTTCATGTTCAATATGCATGTTCAATCTGTCTCTTAGTTTACTTGACACGCCCAGTTTCAGGAAATAGAGCCACGTTTACTCAAACTCTCCAAAGCGGTGACTATTTTGAATTTCGAGTTTAACTATTCCATTTAATTTTTTGCTTGCCTGAATCCTTTAGCGAGTTTGAGTTCGCGATGTTCTATTTGTTATCATGATTACTATTTTGGAGGTGGGGGCCCTGCATGGGACCTTTTATAAGAGTCCCGTTCGTACCTTACCTTTTTGGATCTACATTTGATATCTAGGTTATTTTAACTTAATGTAATATTTGTTCTGTTATATTCTTTTGTTTGTTAAAAATTGTGAATATCGATCCAAATAAAATTTGTTAAATTAAATTAAATTAAATTAAAATTAAATTAAAATCGTAAAGTCTCTATTTACTTTGTAAAGCCGGTTGCAGACGAGCAAGTTTTCTATGACAAGTTTTATTTGCCAAGTGCACGTGTGTATATGCAACAAATTTTATATGACAAGTTTTCATATGACAAGTTTTATTTACTGGGTGGGGTGGGGGTGAGGGGGGTTGAAAAAATTAATGAATTTTTAGCGATTCCCAGCAAGCCTTTCGCGCTCGTATTCACTTTCCTCGGGGACATAGAAACATGCGTGGGAGTTTGGGAGAACGAAAACAATCGTTCCCATGAATGTTATTTTGAATTCTTCCAACTATTACCCCAGCAGTATTTCTCCAAGTGTGTATAGGAACACAGGAAAATTGTTCTTCAACTTCTTTGGTAATTGAAAACTCAAGAAAAGTTTTTATATCAATTAATTTACAAATTCTCATTACCTCAGCATAAAATCTACTTGACCGCCGTTGCATGGTCTTCGCTCGTCAATTTAACCACAAAATGGTCACGTTCTCCTCTATTAAAACTGAGAATTCCCTTTTTGTCTTGTTGGTTCCTTAATTTCCTTGTGAAAGTTAGTTTTATATTATTGATACACTGATTTTTTCGACTACAACGCGTGTTATAAATTATTTTCTTCATGTTTTAAAATCATAAGTGGGAGAGACGGGAAATTCCCAATGACAGCAAATATTTTTGAAGTCTCATATTTGGAATTTAAAGTATAAATTGAAGTACAACAACTAAACAAATTCAACTATAGCACGGCCGTGCCAAGTGGTTTTTGGTTGGAGGGGAGGGGGGTTATACACCCCCAGGTGGCACGGCCCTGAACTATAGGCAATTGTATTAGTTTAATTAGTTTCCTATCACAAGATGTGGCACTCATCAGATATTAAATTAAAAAGCCTTATATTAGTATAATTACATAGGTGATTATTGAAAACTGTTCTCCACGCGGATTGGTTGCCGTTGATGTGATTATAATGCGATAATCATGTATTTTTTATTTTTTTCCAAATACTTATACCTATGAAATTATACTAAAACAATTATTCACCTTAGGCTCGGTGATTATCGTGAATAAAAACCTCGCTTCGTCTCGGTTTTTATTCACCAATAATCAGCTCGCCTTTGGCGAATAATTGTTAAATACTTGCCACAATGGACCATTTGCATTATAGACTAAATTTTGATCTAGACAAAAATTCCATCATAGCATGAAATAGCATCACAAAATTATAGTAATATTCCAAAGTTTCGTTGCGAATTGTTGTAAAATGCGGATAATATAGCCTTGCGAAGTTTGCCGTTTTTCAGTCATTTTGTATTACGCACTGGAAATTGACAGCCCAGTCGGGTGTCGGGGCATCAATTTCCCGTTTGTAATACAAAATGACTGAAAATTACAAACTTCGCAAGGCTATATTATCCGCATTTTACAACATTTCGCAACGAAACTTTGGAATATTACTAATTTTGTGATGCTCATTCAAGCTGTGATGGAATTTTTGTCTAGGTCAAAATTTAGTCTATAATGCAAATCGTCCATTGCATGCCTGATTTGTTATCCTTAATAACCTATAAAATGACTGCAGACGTATTATATGTCCTGATGAATAACTATAACATAGTGTCAGGCAAACATCAATATTAATAGGCCAGCCCTAGGATGCGAAAATGGTATCGTTTGGTACGCCACTGTCAATGCATATAAGAAGCACAGATGTTCACCTGTACCATACCCATAAGAAAAGCAGAACCAACAGCAAAATCACTGAAGATATATTCAGTAATAGCTTCTCTTTACGACTTTCAAATAATACATCGCGAGCTGCAGTTGATGTCTCGGTAAAATCTGCATCCAATGTATATTCCGTTGATTCTTTGTACTTAAGCTTCTTCAACTCAACATCTGAAAAACAAATTTCACCATAACAGAATGTCACCAGTTCATATGAAGCCTCTAAAAATTAACACTCCGATTAAAATTTTCTGGGTAACCTAGAATTAATCCTTTTTGCATGGGTAAACTTAATAAAAAGATAGCTCAATGCATATGTAAGCATCAAATTTTGCACCGAAATTCAGGCACGGTGCTAAAAGGGTGTATGGTTGGTGTAACATTCCCATAGTCATCAGGTAGTCTGCAAAATATTGAATCCTAGTAAGAAAAATATGGATTTGGTCATTCAGATAGGAAGAAAAAAATATATTTGAGTGACATATCATTGATTAAAAATTTTAATCAATGTCACTCAAATATAATTTTTTCTTAGATATATTTTTTTCTTATTTTCTTTTTATTCTAAGATATGATAATTTTTTTTTCAAATATATGTTTTTCAAATATATATATATATATATATATTATTTAATTTTTTTATCATTCTTAAAAGAATGATATCTAAAATGTGGAGAATTCACGAAAAAATTAGCGGAAAATGGAACGAAGACTACTGTGTGAAGCAAAATAAAGAAAGGCAAAATATGCTAGTAGATATTTTGATGTTTTTTACCTTTGTCAGAAGAGAAGACAAGATCACTCAATCCTTGCTGATATTCAGTTTCCAATGCAGTCTTATTCTTTAACGTGACCCATGTCAAGCCATCCAGTTCTTCTCTTGGGATCGGTTTAGTTAGGAGACTTAATATGATGATGGTTGCCACAGTCACAACAAACAGAATGATTCCTAGAGAAGAAAAATAAAGCCTCCGTTATTAGATACCTTACGATTGGCGAAGCTAACCATGCCATGGCAACTGGTCATGCTATGCATGCTAATAAACCTGCATCTACAATACATTTCTAAAGTATCATGATTTCTACGTGTGTTGGTGTTATGTACTCAGGCGAATACAATGTTTGTGATGTTCCTCTGAGTGTGTATCTAGACCGGGCAAGCTGAAAAGTTTGCCTGAGCACGGTGGGGATCGAACCAATGACCAATGATGGGATGCTAGTCTAATGCTCTACCAACTGAACTACGAGGTCAAGTCGGTTCGAGTTGGTGATATTTCGAAACAGAGTCTATATAGTTCCTTCGATATCAATGTATTCTAAGATATGATGATTTCTGTGTGCGCTGGTGTTATGTACTCAGGTGAATATGATGTTTGTGATGTTACTCTGAGTGTATATCCACACCGGCCACCGGGCAAGCTGAAATGTTAGCCTGACCACGGTGGAAATCGAATCTACCTGAGTAGCTATACGACACCAACACACACAGACATCATCGTATCTCAGAATACATTGATTTCGAAGGAACTAGACTCTGTTCCGAAATATCACCGACTTGACTTCGCAGCTCAGTTGGTAAAGCATTGGACTAGTACCCCAAAGGTCGCGCGGGTTCGAATCCCACCGTGGTCAGGCGAACTTTTCAACTTGCCCGGTGTGGATGCACACTCAGAGTAACATCACAAACAACATTTGTAAAGGTTTGGATGATTCAAATCATTAAAATTTTTTATATCACGTCCAGTTTCTATGGCTAGCTTCGCCAATGGTTTACGGCAGACCGTTAAGCGCAAACCTCAAATCGTATATGTCGTACACTTACCAAAGTACATATATTGTATAGAAGCAAACGCAGGTCGTGTGTCGGGCTCGCCACATGCAGGACTGGCATAGATATATTCCGTAGCAAATCTCGCTGCTGCTAATAATAAGCCAATCAGAAAGCCTCCCAGCGCACCAGGCTCATTGGCTCGTGGCCAGACCAATCCCACGATGAATATGGCCATGATAGGTGAGCCGAATAGGAACAGGATGCTTGCAATGTAGCGATATAGCTTGCCACTGCCTCCCCCTTGAAAAATATAAGCAGATATGTCTATGTTGTTGGTGGGCACAATAGATACTGAATATGACGTTTGATTCGATATGTCTTTTTATGTGATTTTTGCATGGCATGCATTCAGGGCCGTGGCTACCGGGGGAGTAAAGGAGAATGTAACCCCTCTCCCCCCTCCCCCCAATGTTTGTACAGACTTTTTTCAGGCAAATTTCTTGGTGATTTAAGCTGATTTTCAAGGTTTTTTGCAAGTGGACATTTGCGAATAAGGGATTTAAAACAATTCATTTTCTCACTTTCAATCAAAGGCATCCAGACGAGACCCATGACCACAAGGACAGCGACAATAGCTCGGCCAACCATAAGTTTTTCTCGGTCATTTGCCTAAAAATGAACTCGGTGAGTCATATACAAATTATCTTTATAATTCACCTAAAAAAAGTGTATGAGATGAAATTTCTTATTTTCTTAAATGGAAGAACTCTTTAAGTTGTAGTGTAACTTATTTTTCAGTTACTTGTTTTTAGATGGTTTGTTCCCGAGATATTTCAATTTGTTTGATATGTAAATGAGTGCGAATATGTCCGCTAATTTACGACGTCACGTTGGTTGCAAGTTCAACTTACACTGGTTATAAATCTGTAATCTAAAAACTGTAGATATCAGTTGACGTTTTTCTCCATTATCGTGAAATGGCACTTTTGAATTGATAGAAACTAAGAGATGTTTGCAAAACATCGGGAGTTGAACTTCGCCTAATCATATTTTTTATTTATTGGATGATAGGGGTGTGAGGGGGTTCTCCGCCAGGCGATTGTGCTATTCTTGAGGCGATTGTACTATTCGCCAGGCGATTGTGCTATTCTGCGTTTTCTGAAGCAAATTCGTAAAAGAATTGCACTAACATTTCTGACAATTCGCTATTCCGCCAAGGCAATCCTTTAAATTGAAAGGGCATCTTTGCCCCCTTGCCCCTCCTGGTAAAGGGCAACGGGGGCGGCTGCCCCTCCTGCCCTCCCCCAGTTCCGGCGTCCCTGGCAGGCAGTGATATTCAAACATTTTGAGGAGCTTGCAATCAACATGACGTCATAAATTAGCGGACATATTCACACTCATTTACATAGCAAACAAATTGAAATATCTCTGGAACAAACCATAAAAACAAGAAACTGAAAAATACGTCACATGACAGCTTAAAGAGTTCTTTCATTCAAGAAAATAAGAAATTTCATATCATATACACTTTAATCTTCCAGGCAAAGCAAGACAAATTTTTGCTATAAATTTCTCATCCAATTTTGATCCAAAATTTAACCAAAATTTAATCAATTTGTTCTTGGGCAATGTCCATTAATCCCACAAGTTTTCGTATTAATACGTGTGATATTTTTTGAGTTATCGTGATTCTGACAGACAAACACACACACACACAGACACACATGCCAACAACTAGGCATGAGAATTATCCAAAATTGTGAATATATTTTTTTGAGTTATCGTAATTCTGACAGACAAACACACACACACAGACACACATGCCAACAACTAGGCATGAGAATTATCCAAAGTTGTGAATTCACTGCATTCGCGCGAGGTTATTCTTGGTGTACCAAATGAATTGTATATTTACCCTTGGTCTTATTCTTTGCCATATATCTATAGTAAATACTGTACTAGCACTGTTGTACACTGAGGATAGTGATGACATTACTGCCGCTAACATTACTGCCATCATTATTCCGACCATCCCTTTGGGTAACAGATTGAATACCAATCTAGAGGTGGTAGTAAATTAATTGAGTTTATTGATTGTATACATCCGGCCAAATGGTTTAGTAGTTACCTACGATAAACAGAGTTTGAATGTTTATCATCAGCACATGTCTGCATCGTCATCACCGCTACCGCCACCGCCATCATCACTACCATCATCAAAATTAACAACATCGCCAGCAGCAGCATCACCATCATTACTACCAGAATTATCTTGGATCAGCTAAGTTTGAACATCCTGATTTATTTCCCTATGCTTTGTCAAGCTCTTAACATAGGATACGCACAATAGAAACATTAAATGTTATTGAAAATGCTCATTAAACTTCATAAACCTTGTGGCAAATCATGTCAGCCATAACATGTCACATGGAATGACTTTATATGTGATAAAACTCATCTTCATAAGTATTTTTTATATAATTGTTCATCCTAATTAGTATGATTACATAATTGTTCATCCTAATTGGCATTCTTTTGTAGTCGAATTTTAAGCTATTCAAAACACTTGAACTTGCGTTTTATCATACCTAATACGCTCGGCTGCGCCTCGCGTTTTAAATATGATAAAACACTCCTTGTCGTGTTTTAAATACTACTGATATTATCATCATCATCAGTGCCATCATCGTCACCACTACTACCATAATTAGTTATCTTGGATAAGTTTGAACATCCAAACTCACTTTCCTGTGCTCTAGCTGTTACAGCTCCTAGCATCAGAACATGTAACATCGTCTTTAACTAAAAGACCACTATAATCATTATCACCATCATCACCGTCACCATCACCATATCACCATCAGCATTACCATCATCACCACCGGTCCACCACCATCATCACCATAATTACCTTGGATAAGCTAAGTTTGAACATCCTAACTTATTTCCACACGCTCTCTCGCAGCTCTCGGCATCAGGACATGCGACATCATCTTTATATAAAACTCGGCTGATCATTCCAGGGAAGACCATAATAAACATGGGCAATATCTTGAGAAATCCAGCAAATATTGTCCCGCCTTTCGCGTGTACGACACTCTTGGCTGCCAAAGCACGTTGAACCATCACCTACAAAATATGACAGTGAACCTTCAGGTCACTGAGAGGGTCCTGTTGGGGGGAAGAATAGGGTTTCGCTCGTCAGACGTTTAAACCTTACAATACAATGTCACAGTATTGAAAGGTTGCCTTGTCGCTTTGATAATTCTTCATATCGTTCTCGTGTCATATATCCACCTTAGACAGCGTTTGTGTCGTGTTTCCATTTCAACGGACTTCGATGTCTTGGATTTGCCTTAACGACGGATCTAATTCCTAAAAGCTTATTGCTACATCTTACCAACCTCGTTCCCAGGGCTTTTCCCTTTTTGTCATTGACATCTTACAGCCCCTAAAGTATGCGTTATCTATCTGAGATCGCAAAAATTGTTTGAAAATGAGCATGCAAAAATACAAAACGTCTGCATGATAAAGAGAAATCAAGAGATGATGCATAAAACCATGAGTTATGACTGGGAGTAATGACTTTTGTTTTAATTCTTATCAGAGACTTTAAAAATTTCAAATGAATGAAGCGGGATACGTCCAGACTTACACAAAGAACAACGGATCGAAATCTAATAGGTGATTCCAGCTATAGACTAAATTTTGATCAAGGCAAGACGAACGAAATCCAACACCACAGCTAGAAAGAGCGTCTTAGAATGAGTAAAACTGCAAAGATTGGTTGCTAAATGTTGTAAAATAAAGAAAATATAGCACTGTAGGTGAAGTTTGCAATTTTTGTATATATTTGTATTACGCGCGGTAAAAATAACCTCTTTCGGCTCAAAAATGGTTATTTTTCCCGCTCGTAATGCAAATATATATAAAACTTGCGAACTTTAGAGGGACATATTTTTCTAATTTTACATCAATTCACTTTGCAATTTTACTCATTTTAAGATGCTCTTTCTAGCTATGGTAATGGATTTCGTTCTTATTGTCCACATCAAAATTTCGCACACAGATTGCCTCAGCGAGTAACAAGAATTGTAGAAAGATAAAATCTATTTTATATCTTCCGCTGAAATTAATTTTGGGAGAAAAAAAATAACGACAAATATTTTTCGAATCGGTTTATGGTCTATACTCTGCGATGCAGCTGCCTTTTATAAGAAAGTAAAGGAGGGAGTCGCATAAATGAAATAAGCCATATGAAACAAAGATAATCGTATCAATTGATAGGGATGCAAGGTTCTTCGTCGGAATTGTGGGATGGCAAAGTGACGACGACAGCTATTCATACAATGAGATTCATAATATTTAAGAACTAAATGAATAATTAATATCCCGTCCAATTTTGGCGATTTAATTTAACCAGCAACAAAGATTTTAATAGACTAGTACAGTAGTAACAGATTACGGATTCAAAGTAAAAGGCATAATTAAATAAAATAAGAATTGTAGAAAGATAAAATCTATTTATATCTTAGGTTGAGAAAAATTAGGAAAAGAAAAATTATAGAAAAATGCAAGAAAAATTATAGCCGATTTCAAAATAAATCATCAGTGTAAACTAGAATTAATGCAGGTTGATACCTGATCAGTACACCAGTACCAAATCTCGACAATGGGCAAAGCGAACCAGAGGCCAAACCATGGGAAGTCCGGATCATCAAAATGACGGAACATATTTGCCCAATATGGAGTAAGACCGTAATTACAACTTTACGAGTTACCATTGCTCTCCGATATCGTGCCATTGACGGTGACATTCTCTATCTCTCGCCAATTACGGCCAAATGATTTTGGGTATTCCTCCCACAACTTTTCTATACCGCCGATCTCTATAAAACCTTGGATAATTTTGTTTAAAGAAATGTTAGTCAACAAGCTGCAACTTATGTATATGATTGTGTTCATATGTTTATTCCCTTTGTTAACTGACAAACTCATTATTACGGTCCACAAACGAAATTTCGCACCCTTCATATTTGCTGCGTGGGCTTGTTAGTCTATTAGCAGAGGCATATTGGCAGGGGGGCCAAAATATTTTAGGGGACACAGAAACTACTGCTCGTCTGTTAGATTGTTAGTCGGGTTTTTTATTATTATTTGGTGTTTAATGACACATTTTCGCATAAAAAATGAATTACAATGTGTGTACATGCAAAGTCAAATTTAGCTAAAGTTATTTACATGGTTATAAAAGTTAAGGTAAAATAGATTAAGAATAATAGTAATAGTTAAAATACAAATTGTTCAACCATTTAATCTAAAGTAGTTTCCTTTCTCTATTTCATGGCATTCAGTTCAGCAATTGCCCTTGGAAAGAAATTGTTTTTAAAACGTTCAGTTCTGCACTTATACAGTGACAGATTATTTAGGTTTCTAATATAATATTGTTGAGCACAAGCTCTAGACTGTGTCACGATTATTTCTAACTATAGGATATTAAGTATTAAACAAAGGACCCATCACAAAGAAATGTGAATACATTTACCTAATATCGTGAGTATTACAGCGCCAATAAGCATAATGCTGACTTGTAAAATATCTGTAAATGTAACTGCTTCGAGACCACCTAAACATGAGTAGAATGTAGACGTCTCATTTGACCTGTAATATTGCACAGCAAGGGGACCGGGAGAAGAGGCTTGTGGTGCTAATAGTTGCATGCAATAGTTGAATATAGTTGGGAGGGGGATTGAAAAAAAGCACGCTTTTGTGAAAATGCAGATAATTAAGGAAGAGTCCTTACCAACAATTACATACACAGCCGTAATACTAAGCACAACAAATGCTGATATGTAAATATTCCATCCTGTTGCTTCTCGGAAATAGACACTGCCAGCGTAAATATCGATCTGGAGAAAGAAAACGAAAGTGAATAAAAGTTTGTCGGTGTGTTTTCTTATTTATATCTCAATTAGTTCGCTTTATATGATTCGTCTGTCTGTTCCATTGTATGTAACTTTCGCTGTACTACTTACCAGGTCTAACCATGCAGGGGCACTGGAGGAAAATAATGAAATTCATACTATGGAATTGCACTTGATTAGGGCCTGAACTTCAGGTTAGAATTGAACTTGCTTTAATTGTTTTCTGTCAGTGTTTATATATATTGATCTAGCCATAGTAACTATGATCTAGCACAGTGTAAATAACATGAGTTCCGATTATAGTGAATAATACAGAAAGAAATTGAACGAAAACAATTAAAGCAAGTCTTGCATTTTCGGTTCAGTTTTGAACCGAGATTTTCTCGCTCCGCCCCTCCATACTACGTCATGTAATGTACACTATAGCGGATCGATACTATATGACAATGAAGAGAGACTTGGAGCAAGTCTAGCCCCTACCAAAAGTAAAATGGTGTGAATACCAATTTACCTGAAATTCCTAGCAGGGCCTGACTTACCGAGATTTTAGTGAAGACATAACTCACAAGGGTTATAGTTGTCAAAATAGTGCGGATGGACTGACTTTGATAGCGTTTCTGCATATATTCCGGCATTGTGTATATCTGAAACAAACATTATTAACATCAATTGCAATATACATATTTCGTGGCTTTTATCTGGGCAATTGACCTTAGGAGTCCTTACGTCACGGCACTGTCAAACAATGAATATTTGACCCACATGTATCCCACATTACATTGCGTATACCTAATGTTTTGATGTAACGTAAGCACTATTGAGGGTTATTAGCAAATGTTTTTAGAACCACTGAGTATTTTAGCAAAATACAAAACAAGTGAAACTCAAAATATCGATAACATTTTTATTTATCTACGTTTCGACTATATGTATTTCAGTCATCATCAGGATAAACTAGCTAGGTTATACAACAAAAGCAGTATAACCTAGTATACCTAGCTTAGTTTTATATATGATGACTGAAATATAGTCGAAACGTAGATAAATAAAAATTTGTTATCGATTTTTGGAGTTTCACTTGTTTTGTATTTAGCAAATGTAGTTACGTCGATGTTACACTAAGCAATATTAGTTGAAACAGCAAATGCAATTTTGCATACAGAACCATGTGATCAAAAAAGTAGTCATATAGAAATTGTGAGCATGGCTGATATTCCTTTCTTGTAACAGTAATCTCACATCTTATTAAAAAGCTGTGTTCGCATTGCTTGTTCCTAGCATAATCTATCGAGATACCGTGATGGTCTGGAAAGTCGTTATTTTGTCAATTTGTTCACGCGGTCCCGGTAATCGAGCTCATTATATTTTTGTGTAATGAACTATTCGTCTAATACCCCAATAGGGACAACTCAGATGAAACGTGCAACCACAATGAATAATATTTAATGAAGTTGAGACAAAGGATTTGTGCATGGTGAGGTACAGTTCAACGTCAAACAAAGGCCTCCTATTTTGTAGCTTTGATGTTTGCCGGGCTTCCAGACCATCATATCTTGAGTCCGATAACAGCTTGTTTTATACTTGTCACAACAACTGGGAATAAACAGTGCGAGCATCCTGATATCAGTTTGACAACAACCTTGTTACAACCTGTTTGCATAAAAAAATGCCTCGTGTAACATGGTCTGGCTTTGAATGAAAAGAAGAGGCAATATAAATACGTCTTTACTTACTCCAGATGTTAAATAAACTGGAACAAAAAAGTATCCGAGAATAAGGAGGGTCCACGATGCCTGAAATGAATTTTTGTACAATGTGTTATTTTCGGTCAAGATGAGCATTCGGGCATTGCTTAGATCCATTGTAAGTTTTTTTTAATTAAGAGGACTATCTACTCTGATTTTTGACAAAAGTTTTGACCATTGCTAACCAATCGAGCTAAAACTTTCTGTATGGGTAGAATTCTGGCTGAATCTTCCTATAAAGCTCATGAATATCTTTCTTTACTCCTTTCTTTGACCCATCGGGAACCACGTGCTGCATGCATCGTCCACTTAGTAAAGTCCATCCATATATTCTTTCACACATACATATCACCCATTAACAGAACCATAAGCATTACTGGTAAATATACCACCACGAACACCTCATATCACCACCATACCTGCCATTTATAACAGATGATTGAAATGCCAGTACCATCAATATTACTGCTGTGTGTACTACCAAAAACACCTCAATACTACCACACCTGCCATTCATTAATACCAATAAAATGCGTACCATCAATACTGCTACTAAATATACCATCACCATCACCCCAATATTGCCATACCTGCCGTTCATAACAAAAATGACAGCCATGACAGTACCATGACCAGGAATACGAATAAAATGCGTACCACCAATACTACTGGTAAGTATACCATCACTAGCACCCCAATATTGCCATACCTGCCATTCATAACAGATGACCGCTATGCCAGTAGCGGCACCATCACCAGCAATACCAATAAAATGTGTTCCACCAATGTTACTTGCAAATAGGCTTCCCCCCACCATCCACCAGACTAAAGAGCGACCAGCTAAGAAAAAAACTCTCTGCCGATTCCTGTCTTCGTCGACGTCGAAATTTTACCTGAATACATCAATCAATGAGCTAGCTCAATCAATCAATTAATCACGCAATTAATCAGACAATCAATCATTCAAACGATAAATTACATTAATTGGTTAATTAATTAAGCAATCAATTGGTCAGTCAATAAATTAATATATCATTCAATTGATTAGCCACGAAATCAATATATCATTAAATCAATTCATTAATCAGTCAATCAATTAATCAATCATTTAGTTATTTATCATCTATCTTTCAACCAGTTTATTAAAGATAAAGAGCAGAGCCCAGCAAATAACTTTAAAGCCAAACATAATAAAAGTAAACAACGAAACGTTAGCTAATAATTTTTTTACTTTTATTATGTTTGGCTTTAAAGTTATTCGCTGGGCTCTGCTCTTTATCTTTAAACTAAGATTTCCGCCTGGTGTATCAATTGCCACAGTTCTATCTTTCAACCAATTAATTAATCAGTCGAACAATTAATCAATCGATTATTCAATGAATCACTAATTAATCAATCAAATTGATCTAGTCAGTCAATCAAGTCAGCCAATTCATCAATGAAATCTATCGGATCAATCTATGTCAATTAGATCAATCAAATCAGTCAATCAAATCAATCAGCCAAAATCAGTTAACCCAGGTAGTTAAATTAATCAAATCAAATCATTAACGAAGTAAATCAATGTCAAGCAAGTCGATCAATTGATATTCAAATCGATCAATTGGTAAATGAAATCAATTAAGTTTGTCAATCAAATCAATCAAGTCAGTCAAAGAAATCAATCAATCCTCAATAAAATTTGTTCATCAATCAATCAATCCGACAGTCAATAAAATCAATCAAGTGAGTCATTCAATCTCTCAATCAACGGCAGGATTAATGGTTGTCCACTTGTCCATGGTAAAACCGCCGTAATACTTACCGCCAGACCAAGACCAATGGTAAAAACAAAATAAATGGCGATTGCCAACCAATCTTCCCATACCAGTCTGCGGTTGTCTGTTCTCATCCTTTACTATTGCTCTGTAGGACTAACGACGACAGAGTGTTTCACGGAAAATCAATTTGGTAGGCCTGGAATTACAACAACAAGGCTTCATTTTCTACTCGAATTACAGCGCAATGCTAAAATTCCAAAAAGATCTCCCCTTGCGAGAGATTTTAGTCTATAGTATGATGAACAAAAAAACTAAACCCGTAGTCTTGGGTTTCATGACGTCATATATCCACTTAATTGGGGGTTAAAGGGTTCGTGTCATGGGTAAAGGACAGATTTTATATTGTGTATATTACTTTATATACACATTGGCTTTTGTAATAGTCGGACAACTCATTTACATAAAATGCGTTGACAGCTATATTGTTTGTTTGTTGTCCATTGGGGGGGGGGTCAAGGGTTTGTGTCATGGGTAAAGGACAGAATTTATATTGTGTATATTATTTTATATGCACATTGGCTTTTGTAATAGTCGGACAACTCATTTACATAAAATGCGTTGACAGCTATAATCTTTCTTTGTTGTTTTAGTTCACATGCACTTGTTCAAAGGTTGACCCCCGCTAGTAGGTAACCCCCCCCCATATAGCGTTCAAAGGGATGTCACCAATGACGTCAACAGGGGTGTACGTCCAAGCGTTCGTACTTAGTGTACGTCCAAGAGTTCGTACTTAGCGTGTGCGTATAATCTGTTACGTCATGCCTATACCTTTTACGTAATTGGTTAAATGGGCCCAAACCAATTGAATAGGGCTAACAAATGTTTTCTTTCCCGACCAAGTATGCGTTCTTCAAGGTCGAATAACGTTGACGAAGTTTTGCCTATGGAATTTCGGAAGCAAATATTTAAGTATAATAAAAATAATAATTCAAAAACACATTATCCGATATGCGTCCTGTTAAAATAGGTGTTCCTCAAGGAAGTATTCTTGGCCCCCTTCTTTTTATCTTATTTATCAATGATCTCCCTTCTCAACTTTCACATTCAGAATCGACAATGTTTGCAGATGACACCACCGTTCTAACAGAAGGTTCTTCCATTCATGATTTAAATGTGAAACTTAACCTTGTTGCTCAAGATCTCTCAACATGGACTCAACAAAACCGAATGGTGACTAATACATTGAAAACCAAGACCATGCTCATTCATTCTCCCCAACAACTTAAGAATACTTCAGACCGTTATCTATCAGTTACTCTTAATGGCAACATACTTGCACAGGTGAAGCAAGCAAAAGTGTTGGGTTTAACGCTTGACGAGTGTTTAATTTGGACCAAGCATAGTGACAACTTGTGTTCAACAATCAATAGTAGACTTGCTTTATTACGCAGGATTAAACCCTTTTTAACCAAGGACTGTGCTCTTCGTTTCTATAACTCCTGTATTAATTCAAGTCTTATCTACTGCTCTGTAACTTGGGGAAACTGCTCAAAAACACTTTTACTTCGCATTCTTCGACTGCAAAAGCGTGCAGCACGTATTATTCTAGACGCTGACTTTTCTACTCCTTCTGTTCTTCTTTTTCCCAGATTCGAATAATCCCAATTTTTGATCTTGTTAAATTTAGGAAGCTTCTCTTACTAATTAACATTCTCACAAATCCCAGTGCTCCATCTTCATTTAAGCAAATGTTTAAATTCTTATCTTCTATTCGACAACGGGCTCTGACTAGAGCTTGCGCATATGACCTTCAACCCCCCTTCCCGCGTACTGACTCTGGTAAACGAACATTTCTGTACAGTGCTTCCATTCTTTTTAATTGCTTAGATAGCGATTGTAAGCAACTTGCTGCTTCGCCATCTTGCTCTTCATATACTAACGCCAAACAAAAATTCGTAAAATCTTTCTTAACAAGCTTACCCTTACTAACCATATCGAAGATCTATTTTGTATAAATTGTAAATATTTACTAAATTGTAATTGTATTCATTACTAATTATTTTTTTCTCAAATGTAAATAGTCGTAATCCTTAATACTTTTTATGCCTGTAAATATCAAAATAGTGCGAG